TGAGCTCGGACGTGAGCTGATAAAACCATTCACAGAAGCAGACATGGCCCACAGCTCCTTGTTTGTGCAAGCCCTGAACTAGAGATGTGATTAAAGTGTGGAAGCAGAAGAGGAGCAGCTGACCTGTAGGGGGAATCCCAGAAAGGGTCTCAGAGGCCCATGGGCTCTTCCTAACTCCTGCCAGGAGTTTCCCAGGTAAGTGGAGGCGAGGAGGTGGCAGAAAGCCAGAAAGCTTTACAGAAAGGAATTCCAAGCCCAAGGGAAATACGTGCAGATGCAGGGCGTCCTGAAGGTGTGTGTGGAGGCTTGGAAATGGTAACTGTTAGAGGGGAGGGCTCAGGGCTACAGTCCCATGGATCATTTCTCTCCTGTTTTATTTTCTACCTCATTTTTTGGTGAATCGCATCTTCTAGTAGCCTCCAGAGAAGTCAGTGCATGGAAGGTGTAGCTTCTGAGTTCTGGCATAGCTTTATAAGATAGATTTTATCCTCTCACATAATTAGTAGTTTGAGAGTAGAATTAAAGGGTGAAAATAATTTGCACGCAGATTCTGGAGATGTTCTCTTTAGCTTTCAGTGCCAAGAAGTCTGATACTCTCCCCACTCCCCTACCGTGTCTGCAGACTACACACCTGGTGTCTCCTCTGTGCTTCTCCAGAGTGTGCTGTTGCTGTCCCCGTGTGCCAGCAGAGGGCTGGCCCGGCTCAGGCAGCAAGTCCCAGGTCCTGGTTTTAGAGAGAGAACTGTTCCTATTTGGAGCCCTTGTGTGGACGGCCTTCCGTTCCCTGGAAGCTTCTGAGATTTTCTTTTACGTGGTTATTCTCAGAGATGTACTTTGTTGTAACTCTTTGTAAATTCACTGTGCTGAAGACTTGCCTGGCTCTTTGAGAACTAGACTCTTTTGCAGCTGATTATATATATCGATAGTTCTTTGTCTGTCTTTGTTATTGCAGTTCTCTCTTAACTAATCTTCCCAAAACACCACTCCCTTCAAGCTTCTCTCTTCCTGAAAGACCTTTACTGTTTCCCTACAGTCTAGTCTCAGTCTGCCTTTCCAAACCAGCCGGATTTATGTTTTTCATAGGTATGTCTCCCTCAACTCAAATCCCCGCACTTGACTTAACAGCACAGTAGTATCTCCCTAACTGTGAAGTTTACGGTCCTGCAAAGCCTTCCTCAAAGGCAGTGCCCCGAAGCTTGTGTGTAGGGGAGGTGGGGGTGGGGAGTGCAGTTAGGAAAGTAGTTGCTGGTCACAGTTTTTCAACAGTTTTTTTTTTTTTTGTCCCCTAATAGAAAAGAATAAAGAAGGGGACACTGGAAGGCATATGAATCAGTAATATGGACACTGTGTACTTTCCATTCAATCTCCCTTACTTGGGGCTAAACATTCCAACATCTCTTCTCCTGTAGGTTTGGTGATCTTGCCTTGTAGTTAGGTGGCTTTTCTCTGTCCAGTGTGCAGTTCCTTTTCTGAATCGATGACAGCAAGTATCTCACAGTGATGACAGAAAGCTCCAACTAGAGTTGAAGGTTGCTCTGGGTCATCTTCACTCACGTCTCCCTGACTGAACAGGTGTTTCTCAAGCCCCTTCCCACTGACTGTAGTGCCTGCCACTCAGGGAGCATCATGCCAGCAGGATGCGCTGGCTCTCTGCCACCTTCCCCCCTCCCTCTCCACCTTCCTCCCCCTCCACACCGACAAGAGGAAAAATCAGATCAAGCAAAATATATTTGGACCACAGTTTCTGGTACTTCTCTGCTTTTAGCTTTACTTCCCTCTTTTCAACCCTCTTTTCTAGTTCTCCTCAGCAAAAAGGACCAAAACCCTATGTAGATTGGAACCAGGATTCTGTAAGCTGAGGAGGAAGCAAACTGAGTGCCTATGTGGAGGTTCCATTCCCCCAAGAGGGGGCGGAAAGCACTGCTCGCAGGGCTGGCCTGTGCTTCCTGGCATCCTACGACATCCTACACCCGCTGTCTGGTCACAACATAAACTAAACAAGCAAAAAATAGATTTTTTTCCTTTAGATTCCAACAATTTTGTAAGTTGTTTCTTCTTGACCTGTGTTCTTAAAACGAAGGTTTGTTGATGTTTTTTAGTCCTTTAGCATAATTGTATTGCATAGGTTACAGACTGGTGTCCCGTGGGTGGGGTACCTTCTGAAGACATATTTTGTTTGGCCTTTAGAATGTCTAAAAAAATACAAGTTAGTGCCTTTCATTTTACAAAGTTGAGTTTTTCATATACATCCCAGGTTTCTACCGTGGCTTGAAAATTAAAATCTGGCAACAGGAGGCCTGCTGCTGCCACCTCTAGGCTGGGCAGGGAGCTCTGGTTTGCACCTGTCCCTGTCATCTGTCACCTCTCCTGTCCTCCAGGAATGTGCTGCTGCAGTAAATGACAGTGAGCCTCATTTAGAAAATTAGCTCCCGGAGCTCTCTAAAAATGTGTTCTTCTTTAGGAATAAAGCATCAGTGGGGAAAACAGTAAATTTCTAGCAGTGTTTCTATCAGAAAGGAGCAAAGGCCAGTTTCATGTGTCCTTTTTTCATTAAAGCTCGTTAGAAGGCTCTGTTCACATATTGTTGTGGTCTCCACTTGAAACTTTTGCTTAGTAGTGAAGTCAGATCTATTACAAGCATAGTGTCATATGGCCCAGGTGACTTCCTCTGAATTTGCTGCACAAGTGTTAACGACAGAAGAAAGTTTTCGTTCTCATTCTGCCTGTGTCACTTGAACAGGTGTCGGTGACATTGCCATTGATCGCCTTGTTCCTGAGCGTACCCAGCACCCAGCCTGATGCTCACTGACCTCGTCAGTGGTGTCCTTGATCACTGCCTGCTGCCGGCGTTGACCTTGTGCTGGTATATCTGCTTGCTTGTTGCCTGCCAGCAAGTGGAATATTACACCTTGACTTTGGGAAGTTTCTCACGTGAGCCCTGAGCAGAGGCGGCCTCTGTGCGGCAGTCCCTGAGGCTGAGCCCAGGAGGGATCAGGTGATTTCCCTCAGTCATGCCGCTGATTAGCAATGGAGCTGGGGAGAGAGTCTGCACCCACGGGACCTAGTCTGGAGCTCAGCTGCCTACCTACCCCTCTTGCCACTTCACAGGACACACGTCTCCTTTCTAGAACAACTGTAACTTGTAGTGAGGGGCTGTTTCATGTCAAGATCATGTTTAACTAGTCAGTGAATATGGTGTGTGATTATTTTAGTTCTGCTTTGGTCACTTTCAGGGCTCCTTTATTCATTTATTCCTGCACATGCTAATAATTCTTATAACTTTAGCAGTGGGCATTTTAGACATTCCATGAATATGTTTTCATTCTAATATGTAAGCTCATTGACACCAGCAGTGACTAGGAAGTTATTCAGCCAGAAAGTAGTTGAACACCTTTGAAATGTGCGCCTGTGCCTTCCATTATGTTTTGGTCTTAATTGCTTAAGCTATTAGAGATCACACTCCTGAGTTTCTGACCGAACTCAGCAGTAGCTGCGAAGAGGTCTTGCCGTCTGCTTTTGCTAAGAAAAGGTTTTTCTGAATCTTCTCTTTGGCCTGCAGTTAGTTAAATGTTGGATTCTTTCTCCTCTCACAAGTCCCTGCTAGTATACCTCTTCTCACGTGTGCTCTTTTTTGTGTTGGGTTTTTTTCCTGAAAGATTGCTCAATGTTATGTTCGTCTTTAAAAAATTTTCAACATCAGCCAGTACATTTAACTTTTATAAGAGCTATTTTTATTTCTGATTATTCTTTTTCATCATATCTCTTCTTGTTTTTATGGCTGAGCCACGTTCACTCTGAGAATACTGTTTAGAAGTGGTTTCTCAGTTTGTTTTTTAGCTTTCCTCTTTTCTACGTTATCCTTTTCCCTCTAGCAGTAATTTTTATTTTCCTCCTGGTGATCCTGTTTATTCGGAATTTCTTTTTATTGTTTTGGACTCTGCTTGTGTGTTTTATGATCCTTAGTTGTCTGTTCCAGTATAAAAATGAGGCACTGTTAGATCTGACAAGGAGTTTTCAATGCATTTGGAAGGACTGGTCTGCTGGTGGGCTTCATTCAACAACAGTTAATGGGAACCTCATTCCTCTGCGGAACCCCTCCGTCAGATGGGGCAGCTTTTCCTCTTGGATACCTGTGTCTTTGGTAGCTACTCTGATTTCCTGGGTAGTTCTTTTACATTCTGTAGGGAATGTGTCTTTGGGGAGGAGGAACACATCAAAGTTGAGGTCCTTAAACAAACCCCTGTTACAAACAGTCTGTAAACAGCCCCGTAATCACATCTGCAAATCCCCTATACTATTATTTATTCTAACTTTTTCTTTAAACTATTTAAATTTATATGAAATAGAAACTTCATATCATAGCATAAATGAAAAAGAAATATATTACTTGTCATAAATTACTATATTCAAACTAAAAACATCATTCCATATGTCATTTAAAGTTGTTGAAACTTCAATTTCATGTTTGGCTTTTCTATACTGAGTAGTATTAGAATGAAGAGTTATAAATAAGTGCTTTGTTATAATCTTGAACTTGTAACCTGTCATTTGTTTGTTTAATTTTTTTAATGTTTATTTTTAAGAGAGAGCATGAGGAAGAAAGCGGGTACAGCGTGGGAGGGACACAAAGAGAGAGGGAGACACAGAATCTGAAACAGGCTCCAGGCTCCAAGCCCAATGCAGGGTTTGAACCCAAGAACTGTGAGATTACGACCTAAGCCAAAGTCGAATGCTTAACAACCTGAGCCACCCAGGTACCCCAAGAGGCTGTCATTTGAAAGTTGACCCTATGATGGATCCAGGAAGCAACAGCTGTGTTCGGTTGTTCACATCTCCTAAAGCCAGAGCAGCTTGAGTCTAGTGTATACAAAGTTGTTAATGTAGAATGTGTTTCAGTATCCGTCCATTTGTCTGTCTCAATTCCCTGTGTTGGTGTGCACAGTATAAGAGGTGTCTTTGGAGCACTTTGAACACCATTTGAAATTCTTCTCCTCATCTAGGACTGACTTCTTTGCACGGATGGTGAACATTTCTTTACATTTGAGAAGGCCATCCTGGATGGTGGATAGTAAAAGAATGAGGATGACTTCAAATTTCCAGTGGCTCCCACTAGCATTTATTCTTCTGTATTTAATAAGTCAAGTAAATAGCCAGAAAAGGGGTAAGTGCATCTGAGTCTTAGGGAATAAACTGATTGCAGTGCCCTTGCTATTTTTTGCCATTACTGTTTTGATTATGAGATGATCTTGTGTCTTTATTGAACCCTTCTGGTATTCTGTGGTTAAAATGCGTTTCTTTGCCACCTTTATTTTTCCCCATGTACTTTTTGGTCTCTTTTATAAAGGCCCATAAAGGTAGATGTAAATATTCATCCCCCATTTTAAAAATTAAGGTATTATTTATATAAAATACAATACACCCTTTTAGGGTAAAATTCTGTACATTTTGACAAATGTATACAGTCATGTAAACACCAGGACAATCAAGATACAGAACACTCCTCGTTCTAGAAAATTCTCCATGCTCCTCTGTACTTAGCCCCTTTCCTCCCCACATCCAGCCAACACTGGCCTGTTTTCTGTCTGTAACTTTGCTTTTCTAAATGTCACATAAATGAAATCTAAATTATCTTTCTTTAATAAAACATTGTGTTCATCTTTTAAAAATATATTAAAAGTACTTCTGTAGATATTACTACCTCATTTATTTTTATAAAGAACGTTATCATCTTTATGCCCCTGAGTTTATTTTTAATACTATTTCCATAATTAAATGTCTCCTCTTTTCCCCAAGATCACTATTAAATAATTTTATTATGATTGCAGATAATTTCTAGTGTATTTCTAGAGATTTTGTTTTCTATAAAAAATAACTTTATAATTTATTGCTTTCATAAATGCCATGCCAGTCGTGTGTAAAAACTGAAAAAACTTTTTCAGAGACATTTATATAGAGTCTGAGATGGAATAACTTTTTTTACAGTCGCTTTACCCCTCCCACCTTCCCTCTCCTCCTTCCTTTTTCCTTTTGTCCTCCCTCTTGCACCCTCCTTTTTTTTTTTTTCATTTTCTTTTTAGCATGGCAGTTTTTCATTGTCTAGTGCTTCTGTATTCTATGACCTAATACTAGTCTATAGGTATGAATAAGAACTATTAGATTATAATCTTCTTTTTTTTTAAGTTACTTTTTAAAATAGTTTACTGTCAAGTTGGTTTCCATATAAAACCCAGTGCTCATCCCCACAAGTGCCCTCTCCCATGCCCATCACCCCCTTTCCCCTCTCCCCCACCCCCATCAGCCCTCAGTTTGTTCCCAGCATTCAAGAGTCTCTCATGGTTTGTCTCCCTCCCTCTCCCCAACTATTTTCCCCTTCTTCTCCCCCACGGTCCTCTGTTAAGTTCCTCCTAATCCTCCTATATGTGCAAACATTTGTTATTTGTCCTTCTCTGCCTGACTTATTTCGCTCAGCATAACACCCTCAAGGTCCATCCATGTTGCTACACATGGCCAGATTTCATTGTTTCTCATTGCCATGTAGTGTTCTGTTGTATAGATAAACCACATCTTCTTGATCCATTCATTAGTTGATGTAGTATTATAATCTTCTGAGTCATTTGTTATTTTTCAGTTGTTTAGGTCTCACAAAAGACATATTTTTCAGACTCGTTTGAGTTCATTACCATGTAAATATCATATGCTTCATAAAAATCTAAAGATTGGTCATGGGGTTTCCATGCAGGTAGCAGTCTCGTAACAGGCAGTCAGACAGCAGTGGCTAAGAGTGCTTAGAAGCCGTGTTTGAAGGCATGGGGAACACTTAATTTTTCCTTGCAGTTATTTTATTCAGGGGAAGGAGTAGGGGCAAATGAGGCTACTGAAAAATTTTTCTAGGCCCTCTCTGGGTCTCCTTGACTCTGTAGTCCCTCCCTGCATTTATCTTAGTGGCTGGAGGTGGGACTTTGTTGGAGGCCCAGTCCCTGAGTGGTCTAGTGGTTGGCCCACATCCATCGGCTTCCCCTCATTTTTTAATCCACAGCTACAAAAAGAAATTTAAAACCAGTCCCTGCTGTGACTCTGCACTCAGCCCTGCAGAAAGAACATGGCACCTGTGCAGACACATATGCATATACTCATGACTAAAGGTGGTTTGATGTGTTGACCTTTTACAGTGCAGTTAAATTATTAAGCATGTTCTTTGTGTCTGTGTGTATTTCTCCTTCTCCAGGGGCTCCTCATGATTTGAAGTGCATAACTAACAATTTGCAAGTGTGGGACTGTTCTTGGAAAGCACCCTCTGGAGCAGGCCATGGTACTATTTATGAAGTTTGCATTGAAAACAGGTAATAGAGATACTTTTATTAATAGCTATAACCTAAAGGTCTTTAATTGTAGAACATAGAGATTTTGTTCTAGAATTTTTTTTAACGAAATTATAAATCTTAGCTATTTCCTAAAAAGTCTGAATCTTATATCAAAGTGGGGAAAAAAAAACCCTTCTCCTGGTTAAAACTTAGATTCTTTTATTATAGGACTATAAAGTATGGAGCACACCTTGAATATGCTGTGGATTCTAATCTACTATCAGGAAGTTTTACTGGTCCGTCCCAAACCACAGTCTGTCTAGATCAGTTAGATTCAGTTTTGACTCTGCCCAACATAAAATGTCAGGTCCAGAGTAGGCAGTTAAGGCCAACATAGTTGTTGGTGAGAGAGCCAGATTCCTGTTTATCATGCTGCAGTGCCTTCTTCAGCAAGGGGTCTCGTGGTTCCAGGATGCTTGAGGAGTGGCTGTTAGGTCTGCCTTTCCAGAAGGCAATGAAGAAAAGAAGGGTGATTTTCTTTTTTTTTTTTTTTTTTAATATTTTTATTTATTTCTAGGAGAGAGAGAGACACACGGCGTGAGCAGGGGAGGGTCAGAGAGAGAGGGAGTCACAGACTGAAACAGGCTCCAGGCTCTGAGCTGGCAGTCAGCACAGAGCCCGACGCAGGGCTCGAACCCACGAAACGCGAGATCATGACCTAAGCGAAAGTCGGACGCTCAACCGACTAAGCCACCCAAGGCGCCCCGAAGGGTGATTTTCTTTAAGGAGTTCTCTAAGAAGTTCAGCACAACACCTCTGCTTGCATCTTTGTGGTAGAATTTAGTCAAACAAGGAAGCCTATTCACATAAGAGGCGGGGCAGTTTGCCTGGATAAACCTGGGGTTAATGTGGGGATAGGGAGAGTGGACAGCAGGAGGCTAGGGGCAGCTCACACCTCCTTCCCCTCTCAGGCCATCTTGGAGAGGGCCACAAGCTCTGAAGCCTGGAGGTGAGGCCTTTGGGCTGTCTGCAAACCAGAACATCCTGTTCGCTGTCCCTGACTCTGCGAGGCCCAGGCGGAGTGGTTTAGCAACACCAGAGTTGTTCAGCACAGTGGCTCCGAGGCCAGTTTGCTGATGGGTGGTCCTGATGCAAATTGATATAAGTCTGCATTTATTTATTTATTTATTTTTTAATAGTTTATTGTCAAGTTGGTTTCCATATAACACCCAGTGCTCATCCCCACAAGTGCCCTCCTCCATGCCCATCACCCCCCTTCCCCTCCCCCCCACCCCATCTGCCCTCAGTTTGTTCTTGGCATTCAAGAGTCTCTCATGGTTTGCCTCCCTCCCTCTCCCCCACTATTTTTCCCCTTCTTCTCTCTGCATTTAAATATTACTCAGGTTTTTCCCCGTTTGGTGTACATTTATTGAGCATTAGTCTAAGCTTTGTGGAAATTTGTCAACCAGGAGGAGCTTGGTTGTAATATTGCAGAAACAGCCCTAACATCTTACTTGCTTATATTCTGCTGTGAAAATAAAGGCTTATTTCCTGCTTGTGTCCTCTGTCTGGGGCCAGCTGGAGTCTCTCTCTCCTGCACGACCCCCAGCCTAGAGGTCCCTCAGCCTCCAGTGCATGAAGTGCTGGCTTTCAGAGCTTCCTTCCTGAAGTGTCAAATGTGATTTTCACTCCCATTTCTCGGCGTATAAAGTCACACTGCCACGCCTTGCCTCAGAGGAGTGGGAAGTGCAGTCCTGCTGTGGGTCCAGAATGGGAGAACCTGAAAAATTTGGTAAATATCATGAGTGACTTCCCTCAGGCCACAGGGAGAGGAAGTCGTTCTTGCTCTCTGGGAGGTCACAGGAGACAGATGGTAGCAGTGCTTTTGGTCAGATGCTGCAGGAAATTCTATGTGAAGGGCTGAGGGAGCATTGACTGAGCAGTGGGGGACCCCAGAGAGGGTGTCAGAGGTGTGACTGTGGAGTCTGAATTCCCAGTCTTCTCAGCAGAGAAAGGATAGGAGGGCGTTCAAGCCTGAAAGAATAGGGGCTCAGTGGCATAATGGAACTTATGAAATAGCATGATTTAGCAAATTCAAGTGGTTCTGTGTTTCTGGCACCTAACAAAGCCTCCCCTCCCCTGTGAGGCTGAGAACAGGTGAGCTGACCTGTTCCATGGTAGCCCTAGTGGGTGATGTGGAGACGCTTGCGCCACGTGCTGGCCAGGGACACAGGAGGCACCCGAAAGTCCCTTTGCTTGAGTTCGGATTTGCATAGGAAGCTAGAAATATACACGAATAACAGTAAAAATAATGTACCTGCACTCTAGAAAGGTTCAAAGGGCCATGCAACCACAGGAGAGAAATGACTTGTCCAAGAGATAATGGGTGGGAACTGGAAGAGGTTTGGAAGCAGAGCAGATGAGAAAGTGTTATTCAGACCAAACCGTGGGCCAGAACAGAGGAGCAGTGGCCAAGTCGAGGGTGTGTTTGAGGGGCCACAAACAGCCAGTGTCATTCTTGTCAGTATCTGGGGAGTACCATCTCCACGTGAGACCATGTGATGGCCTTATGTAGAAGGGTGTGGGTTTAGGGTTGCGGGCGTGTGCAGCACGAGGTAAGGCTGCAGAGGGAAGGCTGGTGGGAGTGTGAAGGGCCTGCTGAAATCCTGAGTTTCTTGAAATGATCATCTCTGCTTATCACTCGACTTTGTGGTACAATCTGGTTATCCATCCTCCACGTTGATGCACTTACCATTAACCTCTCTTTTCTCAGTCTTAAAATGCAGCGTAACCTATCACGTTTCTGTATGAAAGAACAGAAAGTATTTTCCAGTGCATTTTGTGTTAATCAGGCTTTTAATGAAAATTGCACTGTTAGTTTTATCCACTAATTAAAATGTGATTTTTTTTTCCCCATTGCAGGTCCCGTTCTTGTTATCAGTCAGAGAAAACAAATGCTAAAATCCCAGCTCTTTTACCTGGTGATCATGAAATAACCATAAACCATCTCTATGATTTTGGAAATTCTATAAGTAAATTCACACTAAATGAAAAAAATGTTTGTAAGTATTTGAAAAGAAACTTGATTTGAAAATAAGGCAGCACAGTGCCTTCGTTGTTAGTACTGCAGTGCTTTATAATTGGCAGAAATTTACTCTTCTTTTGAATTCCACTTGTTAGACTAACAGTTGCATTTCCCCAGCAACCGTACTGTGGGTTCTAGAACACAGCCAGGATCAGGAAGGAAGCAATCAGAGTGGATGTCAGAGAGTTCACAGTCCTTTCCACACGTGGGTACTTTTCTCAGCATCTCTTCACCTTGCTGATTTCTGCATACCCTTCAGAATTCCTCAGGTGTCCCATGCTCTAGGAAGTGGTCTTTGACTGTCCCCTCCTAGAGGAGAGCCAATTCCTTTCTTAACATTCCCGTAGGCAGTGTGTATTTCTCTTTTCGTGGCATCTCTCAGTTGCATTAATATTGTAGTATATAATAAGGCATTTAACGTTTGTTGCTTCCGCAAGAAATAGGTTCAGTTGGGCAGAGAGTTTGTCTTCTACACCTGGTACCTTTACACCAACTGCCTTGCACGTGGCAAGCATCTTCCACAGATATGTTGATTGAATGCCTATGACCTGTGTTAACCCTGTGAGTGGAGTCATGAAATAGCCCAGGCTGATGGAGATAGAGTTTTTGCTACACATTGAGACCTTAGAAACCCCAGTAGTCTTGACTCTTAATGGTGGGAGAAGCAGGTCTTTTCCTTCTCTCCTGACAACTGTGAGGGCATGGCATCATAATGACATTATAATGAGTCCTACAAAGATGACTTACTTTGAAACAAGGAGAAAAATGTAATTAACTTGGTGACTTGTTCAATTTTGTGGATAAGATGCATGTTTGGAGCGCTCTGTGTCTGAGATAGAACAGATTTTGAAAGGATAATAACAAAGCATGCTTTCCAGGAACTTAGCATCTGTCTCACTGCCTTTTAAGATAAAAGGAGAAGAGCCACATTTGTTATTTTCTTTTCGTAGCTGTATGTGAGATCCATGTAAGAATGTTGTGTACAGATCAGGCATGATCTCAGTACTCACAGAGAAATACTCTTAACACTTAAGTATATTTCCTACACATATACATATAAATGAGGTTCATGCTTTTATAACCTGCTTGACAGAAAACAGAGTTTTCAGTTTGTGATCTAAATCAATCTGTATTATTTTTCTATAAAAATAGAAATAGCCTATCTGCAGAGTACTCCACTGAATGGAGGTACCATAATTACTTAAGTGATTGATTATTAACATTGAGATTTTTATTTCTGGTTTTTCAGTGTAATAACCAGTGCTTTAATGAACATGTTTTCCACATGTTGTGTTTCCAATTTGTGTGATGATGTCCGTAGGCTAAATTCCTAGAATTGGGAATGCTGCATTATGAGCCGCATTCCCCTTGTTAAGACTTTGATATCCATTGCCAGTTGTTCTCCAGAACTTCCGAGTCTCTTTGCGTTTCCACAAACATCACTCTGGAGGGACCTTGTTCTTCGCTTCCTTGCCAGGACTCGGTTTTGTTAATTTCTCTTCATTTTGCCATTTCAATCTGATGGCCCCCAATTAGAGCACTTTGTTTTTGTATTTCTGTGATTACTTTTTTGGGAAAAAAAAAAAAATGATGAGTCATTCTTATTCTTTCCTGAACTGTCTGTATCCTCTCTCATTTTTCTCTTTTGTTGAAACTCAGTTTTTCCTCCCATCAGTTCACAAGAGCTCTCAATATTATGGTTATTAATTTTGTCATATTTCCTACAAGTAATTTCCCAAACTTACAATTTAAATGTCTTGGTTTTCATTTTTATATAAATAGACTCTCTTGCTATTTTTCTTTGAGATTTTGGTTTTATTATCATGCTTGATTTAAATCTTTTACACATCTGGAATTATTTTGTAGTAAGGATAAGGACTCTAACTTAATTTTGTTCCAGATTTAAAAAAATTGTCTAGGACTCTGTCAGAGAGCCAGTTTGTGTTGTCTGATTTTTCAGTAGGTATTGAGAAGATTCTGTCTGGGGGGCTCCTTGAAAGTGTCAGTATTGGATAGAAGAACTAGAAAAGCAAATCAAGGCCGATTCTGGATGACTTACTAGAATGATGTAGTTCATTGTTTTGACATATGTAGTTGATAACATTTTTTTAAAAAGTATTTTATTCTGAGAGAGAGAGAGACCGCGTGAGCAGGGGAGGGTCAGAGAGAGAGGGAGACACAGAATCCGAAACAGGCTCCAGGCTCTGAGCTAGCTGTCAGCACAGAGCCCGACACAGGGCTCAAACCCACGAACCGCGAGATCATGACCTGAGCTGAAGTTGGACGCTCAACTGACTGAGCCACCTAGGTGCCCCTTGTTAATAACATTTTTAATAATATTGGGTCTGATTGTGATTAGAATATTAGATTAACAGTATTCCAGTACTAACCCTCTACCACCACTATGATAATACTGATAAGAAAATTGAAAAGCAGATGAATATGAAAGAGAGAGATGGGGGCATCACGAAATCTTTGAGTACCTACCGTGTTCGGGAGAAGCTGTGAAATATTGGTGCGGCTGTGCATTTGAGGATCTGGCCTTTGGGGCACTTGGCTACTGAATAAAAGTATGAGAAATTCTGTTTTCCTCAGGTGCTTTCAACAATACACATAGAAAGAAAAATTACATAAAAATCTATAAGATATATATATATATAATTTTTTAACAAGCTTCTAATTGACAGGGAAAGTGCAAAAATAAGTTTTTGTAAGACTTTTAGTATCTGAGTTTCTTAAAACCACCTGAAAGTATGGGTCCGTCTGAGTCAGAATAAAATAATGTGGACCCCATACATGAACTAGGAAAAGCTCCCGTCTTCTGATGTCCTGAGCAGGAAAAACATGGAGGTTATGGCTAAAGATGTACTAGCTTTAAAAAATAAACACAAGTCATTATATGTATTTCCCAGCTGAAAAGTTCCTATTTTTAAGAAAACAATACTGTCCTCCAGTGTCTATTTTAGCTGGAAAGAAATGCAGATGATAGATAGTTTGTGGGCACTTAGGGAAACTTCCCTTTTACTGTGATGAATTGGACTATGAAGTAGTGAAAAAAGTGTGTGTGTTTAATCATTTCACTTGTATAATTATTATTATTACTGTCCTTAGCTGGAAATACTGGATATGACTTGTGTTTTGAAGAATAGCCCACTTCTATTTAGATAAAAGGTAAAGTATGTGTACTTTTCAGGGACAGAGCATTTTAATAGATAAATATTGTCTTAGTGTAGATGCTCCTGTGTTTCATAATTTTTAAGTTACTGGATCATGACATCTTGAAACACTTAAAAGAACCATGTTCTTAGAAGCCTCTACTCTGTGTGATCACACTGGCACCTTGAACTTCTTGCTCCTTGTTTGCTCCTTCTGTTTGTTTTTTTATTATTAAGTTTTTATTTTAATTCCAGTTAGTTAACATATAGTGTTATATTATTTTTAGGTATATGATATAGTGCCTCCTTCTGTTTTATTTTTTTAAGTTTATTGTATTTTGAGAGAGAGAGGGAGTGGGAGGAGGGGTGGGGGGTGGGGGGGAGAGAGAGAATCCCAAGCAGGCTGCATGCTGTCAGTGTTGGAGCCCAGTGTGGGGCTTGAACTCACGGACCATGAGATCATGACCTGAGCTGAAATCAAGAGTCGGACACTTAACTAACTGAACCACCCACGTGCCCCTGTGGCTCCTTCTGTTTCAAAAGTAGTTCCTACTTAAAACTTGTCCTATATGCTGATGCATAGGGGCACAGGTACCCCAGTGTTCATAGCAGCACTTTGAACAATAGCCAAATCACAGAAAGAGCCTAAGCATCCATCAACTGATGAATGGATCGAGAAGATATGGTTTGATTATACAGCGGAATACTACTCGGCAATGAGAAGGAATGAAATCTGGCCATTTGTAGCAATGTGGATGGAACTCGAGGGTGTTATGCTAAGTGAAATAAGTCAGGCAGAGAAGGACAAATACCATATGTTTTCACTCAAGTGGAACAGGAACTTAACGAAGGACCAAGGGGGAGAAGAAGGGGAAAAATAGTTGGAGAGAGGGAGGGAGGCAAACCATGAGAGACTCTTGAATGCTGAGAACAAACTGAGGATTGATGGGGGTGGAGGAGAGGGGAAGGGGGGTGATGGGCATGGAGGAGGGCACTTGTTGGATTGAGCACTGGGTGTTATATGGAAGCCAACTGGACAAGAAACTATTTTAAAAAAAAAACAAACTTGTCCTGTAAAGCATCCTCCACTGTCCTCATGTAGCTGTGAAACTGTTGACTTTGCTGTATTCTGGTTAGGTTTTGAATCCACATGTCCTATTTCCTGTACAGCCATAAATATTTTACATAGATCTAGTGTACAACACTGTGCTCAGCAAATTTCAGTTAAATTTATTAAGAACTTCGTAAATTCCAAGACTGATTTGTATTGGTTTGCTCTGCTACTTCTGTCATAGGCTATATAGTGCTATGTAGGTTAATAGTGCTATATTCTTTGCACATTCAGCTACCCTACTTCTGGAAAGTCCTGCAGTTTGTACTTGCCGTGACTTATTTAACTGGACCCTGTGCTTTATGGGGAAGTGCTAGGATAGGTGTGAGGCCCGAGAGCATGTGTCTCTGGATTTCTTTTAACTTACCTTCACTTACTGTTATTTGAAGAGAAAACATGCAAGAAAGAATCCCAACATACCAGAAGGCCTACATTTCATAGAACAGAACAGGTTCATACCTTATGTGTTTTTCATTGAGCTATTTTAGTAATTTACTCATCCCTTGTAGGTAGGGAGACTTGAAGATTTTGAAAAGTAAGAAATTTACCATTTTCTCCCTATGAAATACTATATCCCTGGGCATGGTGTTTGTTTCCTTTATCATTTGTAAGGCAGCTTCAGAGCCCACTGCCTTCCAGACTTCTCTCTCACATATTGACAGTACCCTCACCAATGTCAGTCAGTGGTCTTTGTTCAGTTTTCCTCTATGAACTGTCTCTTATTTGGCCTAGATGACAACCCATTTCTTTTGGTCTCAGCAGTGCCATATCTTCTCTGGTTTCCTTGTGCCTCGCAGGATTCTTGCTGGGGTTCTCTGGCTTCTTGAGGCTGTGACTGTCTATTGGTAGCTCTTAAACAAGCTTTGGCCATTTTGAATCTGTGTGCTCAAGTTCATTTCTTCAGCTACACTCAGAGAGTTCCTGTTGAGTCTGTGTCTGTGGTGCTGATGGTCTCTGTTCTCACTTCCTGTGTGCTTAGCTCTCCATTGATCGTCTCTCCCTCCTCTGACACTTGGTCATCCATAGCCTGTCTCTCCTGTTTCTTCCCAATGTCAGTGATTTATTTTGTCTGCTTTCTGGGCTAGGAACTTGAGGAAATCTTAGATGTTTCCCTTTCTCATTATGCTAATCCCTCACTTCTTTGATCTGGTCATTTCTTTGAAGTGCCTGTCAGAGTTTTTCCTTTTCCATATCCCTCATGCACATGATGAGGCATCATGATCCATATCCTTGCTACTCCGGTCAGCCTTTCTCTAGTGGTCTGCCACTTAGTCATCTCATCTCTGTCAGCCCCCGCACTGCATTGCACACCACAGCTCAACTGGCTTTTCTGAAGGACTTCTTATCCCACTGAGTACTTTATAGATCTGCACAGTACCCTGTTGACATCCTCACTTAATGCCTTGGTCGTTCCTATGGTCTTGCTGCCGTTTAGATCCCTACACCCAGTATTAGCTCATAGCATCCCCAGGTGGATGACTTCCATCAGCATGAGGGGCTCTGACACTGGAAGGTGAGTGGGAAATGTGCAGAGAAAACAGATGGAAAAGGCCTACCAAAGCAAGTTTTCCATATTCCATCATTTTCTTGGGCCTGACCTATAGGTATCCAAAGGAAGCTCCTTTACTTCTCTCTGATGGTACCCATTTGTAGATCCGGACTGATGACACGAGTATTGTGGGAACCCAGTAGCTATTAGAAGACATACTAAGATTTGATAATAATTTACTCAAATTTGATGAATCCTTGGAAGCTGCTTATACAAATAAATACATATATTCTGTTTTGTCAGTAATCACTTTGAGAGTTTGCTTTTAATTCTGAATTCTTTTGTGATCAAGATGGAATAGAGTTTAAAACTAGTTGATTAATGGAATTACAATATGAAAAACCATTACTTATTTTACTGAGTTTTGTCTTTTGGTTTTTTTTCTAAGCCTTAATTCCAGATACGCCAGAGATCTTGAATTTGTCTGCTGATTTCTCAACTTCTACGTTATACCTCAAGTGGAATGACAGGGGTTCTGTTTTTCCCCGTCACTTAAATGTCATCTGGGAAATTAAAATTCTGCGTAAAGAAAATATGGAAATCATAAAATTAGTAAGTTTGAACCAAAATAGTCTTTTTTCTTGTGACATTATAGAAACCAAATAATTTTTAAAAGATTTTTGAGGTAGTATCAGTGAACCCTTCTTTACAGTGTTAAGGGATTAGATCAGCTGTCCTTTCAGGGTTCATTAAAAACTATCTGCTATGACTCAAAAATCGATTATTAAAATAATATATAACCATTCCAGTAAGTTTAGGAAATTAAGGGAGGAATAATGCATCATTCCACCACACGAACACAGGAAACATCTTTCTGTTTCTGTCCAGCTTTTTTTATGTGCATGTTTTTACACAAATGAAAAGCATATACATATAATTTGCTATCATTTTTATTTTGTCTAATATTCTGAACATAAAAATAAATGTTTTTTTTTTAAATGTTTAGTTATTTTTGAGAGAGAGAGAGAGAGAGAGATGGAGCGTGAGCAGGGGAGGGGCAGAGAGAGAGGGAGACACAGAATCCGAAGCAGGCTCCAGGCTCTGAGCTGTCAGCACAGAGCCTGACATGGGGCTCGAACCCACAAACCATGAGATCATGACCTGAGCCGAAGTCAGATGCTTAACCAACTGAGCCACTCAGGTGCCCCAAAAATAAATGTTTTGAAACATGTAGTCATAATAATTGTTGAGAAGTTTTGTATAAGCCTGTAAGTTTGAATTTATTTGAATCTAAAATCACGTTCTTAACATTTAGCAGTGCATGCTTTTTTTCTCTGTTATTTTTTCAAATTTTGTTTATGAATGGTTTCCTTATGATCTGCCTTTAGTTTGCTCTTAATCAAAAGGATGATGAGGAATAGCAGTGAAAAGTTTTGACAGCTGATACTTGGTAATTCCCCCTTTTTGTTCCTTGACTCTCTTCTTCCTTGATGGATTTGAAATGTGCTTAGTTATAGATTTAAGAATTAGAAGGCTATCTCATGATTTTACAGTTATTTGCCTGAGTGCATAGATAAGATAGACAGTAAAGATAAAACATAGAATGTCTGTTTTATGGTTACTGTCTTGTTTTTCCTTTCTGACATTCTGTGTCTGACATTCCTAAAATGGGAGCAGCCATAACTGTGGGCTGCATGTGTGCTGACTCTTGTAAATGCTCCGTACATGTTAATCCCTTGCATTCCTGACCCTGTGGTTAAAGCTCTGTATATGTTCAGTCTTTGCATCCTCACAGCAGGCCCATGAGGGAGGCACTATGAACATCATCCCCGTTTTACAGATGAAGACACAGAGACATAGAAGATATTAACTGCTAGGAATTTACCCAAGGGATACAGAAATGCTGAGGCATAGGAGCACATGTACCCCAATGTTCATAGCAGCACTCTCCACAATAGCTAATACATGGAAAGAGCCTAAGTGTCCATCAACAGACGAATGGATCAAGAAGATGTGGTTTATCTATACCATGGAATACTACATGGCAATGAGAAACAATGAAATCTGGCCATGTGTAGCAACATGGATGGACCTTGAGGGTGTTATGCTGAGCGAAATAAGTCAGGCAGAGAAGGACAAATACCATATGTTTGCACGTATAGGAGGATTAGGAGGAACTTGACAGAGGACCAAGGGGGAGAAGAAGGGTGGAAATGGTGGGGGAAAGGGAGAGAGGCAAACCATGAGAGACTCTTGAATGCTGACAAAAACTGAGGACTGATGGATGTGGGGGGGAGGGGGGGATGGGCATGGAGGAGGGCACTTTGGGGATGAGCACTGAGTGTTATGTAGAAACTAATTTGACAATAAACTATTTGTAAAAAAAATAAAAAAATAAAAAAATAAAAAAAAAAAGAAGAAGATATTAACTAATGGAGCTGGGATTGAAGTGCAGGCAGTTTAGTTGCAGTCTGTGCTCTTTCTTACCCACCACGATTTCTATTACAAAACAGATATATTTATTTTTGTGTAAGGTGCCTTTCCTTACCTTTTCACCAGTGCAAATTGAACGTACATTCAAGACCTAAGTCAAATCCTGTCCCTTATGTTAAAGCCCATACTGATTACCTCGGCCTAAAATGCTCTCTCTTTTCTTGAATTTTAATGTCAGTTCTTGTCTGTTAATCTTACCTGCAACTAGCTTTGATACAGCTGTACCACTGCTTAGAACTATTGCTTATCTGAAATTGTACCGTGTAGCTTGACACTTTGTGCTCTGGGTTACCACTTACCGGCTTGGGGTAACTTCCCAAAACCTCCTTTTTGTCATTTGTGAAGTGCTGCCAGTCTTTGCTTTAGTAAATGATTATCGGTATCTGTAAAGCTGCTAAGCAGCTAGCAGTTGTCATTACTTTTTGCAGGGGGCTGCCCAAGAAATGCTATAGTAAGAGGGCCGATCTTTGCAGTGTAAGTGAAATCAAGCGTAAATGAACGGAGATACTTTTTTTTTTTAATGTTTTATTTATTTCTGAGAGAGAGAAAGACAGCATGAGCAGGGGAAGGCCAGAGAGAGAGGGAGAGACAGAGTCAGAAACAGCTGTCAGCACAGAGCCCGACACGGGCCTCAAATCTATGAACCATGAGATCATGACCTGAGTTGAAGTTGGACGCTTAACTGACTGAGCCACCCAGTCAACCTACTTCTCCACACTTCTTACAGAGGGTTCATGTACATCTTGTTTGTATGGTGGGAGTGTGGTAAATAGCTGAGAACTCTTGTGGACAGAGGTTCCTCCAGAGCTCCAGCAACCTCCACTCCTATCAGCTAACTCAGAAGAGATTAATACCTAGGTATACACGTAACCCACTCAGGGCAGACCTCTGTGGTTTTTGGCATACTTGTTATTAAGCTTCAGTTCAAGAGGTCTCCCATCATCATTCAGAAGATTCCTTTTACCTTTTTCTTAGTGGATCCTCTTCTTCCTGAATTCTTCCTCTTATTTTCTCATTTTGGTGGAAGCATGTATCCCAGTAGTTACTAGCTATTCATTATAGATACTCTTTGCTACCTACATTGATAGTTTGCAGGTGTATTTTGTTTTTTAAAATTTAAATTAATTACTAACAAAATTTAAAAGACTGTCAATTCCAAATATCGAGATGTAGAACAATTGGAACTTTCATACACTTCTGGAGGGAGTGTAAAATACTTCTTGATGAATTCGTTAAGACATAACATTTCTAAAAATGTCTATTTTGCATTCATTCACGATTACTATTTTAGCTGGATATAGAATTGTAAGTTGGGGGATTTTCTCAAGATTTGGAAGACATTGTTCCATTTGTTTCTTATTGTGGATCTGTCTTTGTTGTGCTAGACAGTCATGCGGCCCCTTTCAGTCTCAAAACACATGTCTGTCAGTTTGGGAAATTTTCTTATTTTATGTCTGACTTCTTCCTCTCTGTTTTCTCTGTTCTTCAGAAATCAATCTGGACCTCTAATTTTCTTACTATTTCTGCTTTCTATCTGCATTTAATTATTGTTGTATTTTCTGAACAGTTTTTCTTAAATTTTATCTTATACCCAGTTACTGAATTTCTATTAACATATATATTTTTTAATGTATAAGATATCCCTTTTCTTCATTCTTTTTGTTTGTTTTCTGTATGCATTCTCTTATCTCTGAGGACATCAGTTATCTAATTTTTTTTTCTCTCTGTTCTGTTTCTTCAGGTCACTTTTTTCTCTATTTTTCTCCAATTTCTGGTCATCCTGGTTGCTCATATTTTAAGTAGGTGGCTCTTAAAAAATTTTTTTTAATCTAATTGGAACTTTTGTTTGCTGTCTAGGGACTTGTTGACTGGGGTGTTATTATAGGTGATTAGTTGGGCCATCTAGTTGGCAGAATCTTTATATTATCATTTTAGGTGTTTATCTTGACCGGTTCATATCCTCTAGAAAGTTCATTTTGGGTCCTACCTGGTAGGTAGAAACTCTGCCATCAGCATCCTAGGGGCTGAGTAGACAAAGGCAGGAACACACCAGCCTTCACAGTACATAGGTTAGCAGTCCCGCCCCTTCCTCCCCCCCCCCACCCCGGTTGTGGTACAATATTCCCCATTCTCCGTTCTTTCTGGGGTTCTTCATTTCAGCAGTATTTGGTCTTACTTTTCCAGAGCATAAATCTCCATTCTGCCAAGATGAAGAGGGGCAGTCTTTTTGTAGCACAGAATGTGGGAGGGGACTTGGGTATCTAACATACCTTCAGACAACTTTCAAGCAGCTTTCTGTTCTGTGCCTCACCTTCACCTGCATTTCCACAGGAGCCTGGTGCATGCAGCCCCTTCCTGAGCCCTTTGGTATTTACATGATAGAAATCAGCTTGTTTCTGCCTTTTCCAATGAAGGCTTAAGGTTCAGCTTTCTCAGGTCTTCTGAGTCCGTTACCGTTGTCCATCAGCCCTCCAGCATTCAGAATTTCACTGGTGGTGTTTCTTCTCTTGTGTTTTGCCTTTGTGCATCTATACCTTTTTTAAAAAATCTGTGCACTTTTGTTTTAGAGACATTTCAGAAGATAATAGAGGGGGAAAGACAGTTATTCAAGCTGTGGTCATTTGCTGGAAGTCCCAAGGTCCCTTTTAGTAGATCTGTGATATTTGATTGAAATCCTTTCCATTTTTCACAGCGGAGATTAATATTTTATATTATTGTACATTGCATATTTAAAAATAAAATTTTTAATATATAACACATAAATATAAATCCAATCTGAAACAGTTATTTTGTTGAAATGCTGCTCCTCTCTTTAACTCTTTTTTTCTTAAGTTTATTTATTTTGAGAGAGAGAAAGAGAGAAACACACACACAAGCAGGAGAGGGGCAGAGAGAGAGGGAGAGACACAGAGAATCCCAGACAGGCTCCACACTTCAGTGTGAGGAGCCCTGTGTGGGGCTTGACCTCACGAACTGAGATCATGACCTGTGCCGAAATCAAGAGTCAGACTGAGCTACCCAGGCACTTTCCTGCCTTTAACTCTCGGAAGTACAGATCCATTATTTTTTCTCAGCGAAAAATGGAGATCAATTTAAGACAGTGGTACATTTGTCTGTGAAATGTATTGAATGTTTTGGAAAATGAACATCATGTATAATCAGTGGCCTAAAGTTGAAGTAAACGAGTGCACTTGTTGTGATGTGTACCAGGTGTTGTATGGAGTTGTTGAACCACCAAATTGTACACATGAAACTAATATAACACTGTATGGTAATTGCACTGGAATGAAAACAAAAGAAGTAAACGTAAATGAATCATGATTATTGTTTCCGTAAGTCTCCTATTACGCCTTTTCGAAAACTGAGATAGTTGTACAAAAGGACAAACCTTTATTTAACTTAGTGGTGATTGTATACTGTTTGTTGTTTTTTAATTTGAAAGGCAAGCAGAACATACCACTACTTAGAAATCTCCTTTTGTGTTTGTGTCCATTTTGTAGGTGACCCACAACACAACTGTGAATGGTAAAGATACAGTTCATCACTGGAGTTGGGCCTCAGACATGCCCTTGGAGTGCACCACCCATTCTGTGGGAATTCGATACTATGTTGAGGATCCTCATTTCTCTGGTCGCAAAGAGTGGAGTGATTGGAGCCCACTGAAGAACGTTTCTTGTAAGCTTACATGTTGAAAAGCTTTCATTTCAAATGAATTAGATTAATCTTGCATAAGGGTAGGGTTTGGTTTAAGCTTTTAGTTCTCCGAATGCCATTTAGGTTCCCCAGAGTCACCTGAGGATATTCCAAGTCTCTGTCCCAGAACATTTTGATTCAGAAACCCTGGGGTGTGATTCAGGAATCTGTATCTTTAAAGATCTTCCTGAGTGATTGGATAAGCATCTAGGTTTGGTAGGCGGTGAACAACATTTAAAAATTTTAGGGAGATGTTTTTGACATCAAGTTTATATGTTAAAAGAAAAAACAAAAGGGTTCCCAGTTTCTTGGCCATAGAGCAGATCTGTATGAGCTGCAGAGTTCTTGCAGAGAGGGTGGAGATCTGTAATTATACCGAAACTCACCTGTACACTGAATGGAACTCATGCAGGTAGAGTGTTGGCAGTGTGGGAGAAGGCTTGGAAAACTGTTGACAATGAGATGAAGTCCTTCAGCATGCTGGTTTTTATTGTAGATCATTCGCTCTAGTGACAGCGTGGAGAAGTGGATCTGGGGAAGGAAGGACTCAACGCAGGTCGATAAGTAAGGAGGATCTTGTTGCAGTTCAGTGAAAGCCAGTGGAGGCGTAAAGTAGGGCTTTGGAATGGGAAGGAAGAAAAGTTGTGATCACTGAAGACACAGAATTAAAGTTGGTGACTGTGTGTTTGGTAACCAAGAAATAGAGCCAAATGTGACTATTAGTTTGGGCGGCTGAGTAGCTGGTGATGTCTTCCAATGAGGCAGAAAATATATGAATGAATTCAGTGGGAAAGTTAAATTCATTTTCAGTATGTTAAGGTCGAGGTACTTACGAAGTGCCTGGGTAGCAATGTCTCATAGGCAGTGATTAGAAAGAACTGGAGCTCTATATTTAAGAATCAACAAATATTTGATGCAAATTGTTTATGTCTGGAAGTTAACATGCTCAGGGAAAGAGAAATAGGGACCAGGAACACATCTACAAGTTTGAATGTCTAAGGGTAGGATGAAAAAAAAAATAGGCTAGCAAACAGACACATGAAACGATGCTCAGCATGCCTCCTCATCAGGGAAATACAAATCAAAACCACACTGAGCTACCACCTCACACCAGTCAGAGTGGCTAAAATGAGCAAATCAGAGAACTCTAGATGCTGGTGAGGATGTGGAGAAACAGCCACTCTCCTACACTTGGTGGGAGTGTAAACTGGTACAGCCCCTCTGGAAAACAGTGTGGAGGTTCCTCAGGAAACTAACAATAGAACTCCCCTAGGACCCAGCAATAGCACTGCTAGGAGTTTACCCAAGGGATACAGAAATGCTGATGCATAGGGGCACATGTACCCCAAGGTTCATAGCAGCACTCTCAACAATAGCCAAAACATGGAAAGAGCCTAAGTGTCCATCAACAGATGAATGGATCAAGA